AGCAGATGTGCACGACCTGATGGCGGTTTTAACAAGATGAGACTAGTCATTCCCTCTCCCGCCACTCTCCTACACATCTGGCTCAACTCCCACACATCTGGCTCAACCGTCAGTCTTATTCAACCCAGTAGGTGTGACTCAGTGCAGAGAGTACACTACAGTCTTTGCCAATTTAGCTTACAGTGAAATAAGCCCTGTTCAGACATGACTCCGTTCCATTGATCTGACAGTATACCTAAATCATGTGATCTGTTGAAGTCAGAGCTGCAGTCTTACTGGTTTGGACCTTGTTTTGGTATAATTGTCAATACAAGTCTGAACTGCACACAGTATCAACAGATAATCACTGACAATGCACATCTTTGTGAGTTGCCCACCACACTGGCCTAAACACCAGTATTTTTTTATGTAGCATGCATAATGCAGTTTTTGTCAGCAATTCTGTTTCTAATTCACAAATACATTTATATATGGTGTATTTTCCCCAAAGAGAAGCCCCCCCCCCCAACACACACACACACGCAGACACACACAAAACTTCACAAATATGGTTGAACTATATATTTGCTTAATTTTTTGTATATATGGCAAATATTGCTTTGTTGCTGTGGTGTGTATGTCTGCTCTGAAGCGATAAGGGATATAACATAAATATAGCCTATACCTGAAAGACTTCGTAAATACATTTTAATAGGCAGCAATAAATAACCCCAATTCCAAAAAAATTGGGACACTGTGTGAAAATGTGGGGGAAAAACTGAATGCAATGATTTGCAAATCTCATAAACCCATGTGTTATTCACAGTAAAACTTGGAAAACATCAAATGGTTAAACTGAGAAAATGTAGCATTTTAAGAGGGAAAAAAAAGGGTCCTTTTGAATTTGATGGCATCATTTCTCCTCTGCTTTTACCAACAGTCCATAAACATCTGGGAACTGAGGAGAGGAATGTTGCCTCGTTCTTGTCTGATAATAGTCCGGGCTCTTCTTTGTTGTATTTTTCATTTCATGATGCTCCAAACCTGTATATACCTTTGAGTATTGATGTTGCATAGTGCCAGTGGCATAGACTGTAATGCACCAGTCAGAGATGCAACATGAGCGCTGATAACAAGCGAGATGGTCCTGGCATCCGTCCTTTCCCAAAAGAATTTCAAATTTGGATTTATGTGGCAATAGAATAATTTTCCATTTTGCCTCCATCCATTTTCCATGAGCTTTGGCCCAGAGAATAAGGTAGATGTTCCTAGATCATGTTCATGACAGAATCATGGCCCATTTTAATTCCGTGCCAGCTGAGAGCCCATAGATCATGGACTTTCAATATTGATTTTCTGCCTTTTTCCATGCGCACAAAGATTTCTCCAGATTCTGTTGATAATATTGTGTACTGTAGATGAGGCAGTCCTTGATATTTTACATTGAGGAATATTAAATTGTTTCATAATTTGTAGACAGTTTTTTTTGTCGATCTTTACTCCTGAGAAACTGACCATCTAAGATGCTCTTTTATATGATAATGGTAAATGGCCTGTATTTGTATAGCACTTTTCTAGTCCCTAAGGACCCCAAAGCGCTTTACACAACCAGTCATCCACCCATTCACACACTGGTGATGGCAAGCTACATTGTAGCCACAGCCACCCTGGGTCGCACTGACAGAGGCGAGGCTGCCGGACACTGGCGCCACCGGGCCCTCTGACCACCACCAGTAGGCAACGGGTGAAGTGTCTTGCCCAAGGACACAACGACCGAGGGCTCGAACCGGCAACCTTCCGATTACAAGGCGAACTCCCAACTCTTGAGCCACGATTGCCCCTAATATTACTGACCTGTTGCCAGTTAACCTAACTAGTTATAAAATTTACCTCTAATTTCTGTCTTTAAAGTAATAGATTGACATGTCAGGAAATAAAATATGCTTTTAGGTTTCTTTCCAAGAGTTAAAAGAAAACCTTAATACCACTACAGTCCTGGAGAATGTCCTTGCTCTTCTACTCTCAGAGGATTTGCTAGAGATGAGTTCTGCCAAGATCTTGAAGATGATATTTCATTGTTATTTTACAATCTAGTTTGATGTATTGTAAAACTACAGGTAGTTGATATTGGTAGATGATTTTGTAGGGATTAACTGTAAGCATGTTAATGTTAAAGGAAAAATGTGTTATTGGGATACAACAACGCTTGTGGTCACCTCATTAACAGTCTTTATGCTAAGCTAACCATATCCTTTTGTAACTTCATCTTACATGAACCATGACCAGTGAAGAGTTGCACACAAAAAAACAGTAGTTTTAAAAAATTACATGACCAAACAAAAAACTTGAAATTGTGGAGGTAAGCATCAACGACACAGCTCTCAGTTCTCACTCCTTCTTATACAGGATTGTATAATTTGCTGGTGATAGTGAGTGTAGCATGTCACTGTCAGGAGGCTGGTGTCCTTCTGTGTTCTTCCGTCTGGAGAAAAAACACTAAAGCTCTCATTTCCTCTCCAACGGTCTCTGCAAAGCCGGTCATTTCTCTGGGAAATTTAGTACTCTGTGTGCCTGTGTGATCTCGCCCTGAGACTTACTGTAACAGAGGGTTGACGTTCCCGGAAGAGATTACCATCACTGCTCTAAATGTTTCCCAGAGTGATTTGGGACCACGAAGCCAGGATAATTTGACAATTGTATCTGCACACACTTGCACACGCACTCGTGCCAGTGCATAGTTGTTAAGGGAAAACATTTGAATCTTTTCCAACCCAATCCCAGATGGTACCACAGCAATGCGGTACTCGCGTACACAAAATTAACCGCTCTTCTTTGCTCCTTATGTCTGCCAGCTCTTCATCAGAAGCCCAGAGCACGTCTGAGTATTCAGTCGAGGCGGAGTGACTTTGCTGGTCCTGGATCAGATGTGGATGGTGATGACAACGATGATAATGATGGTGATGATGATCTTGAAGATGATGTGAATGCAGATTTGGGATCTGACCTAAGTCTTGATGAGCTTTGACCTTTATGTGTTGTGAGTTTTTTGGAAAAGGTAAAGGCTGAGGAAGCATTCAGCAAGAAAAAGACAGCAGACAGCGTTGTTGCTTCGTCATTGCCGAGCGTGATGAGAAATTAAATGTTGTGCATAAAATGTGAGATAAAACTTGATAAATTCAAGAATGAGTATTGACTGTACATAAAGGAAAGCGAGTAATTAGATCATTTTACCTATTGCTGTTACAGAGCTGCTTGGATATGATTTGGTTTTTTTTCTGGGGGGAGCTTTATTTGAATGCAGTTTAACAGTTTTTGTGAGAGTGCCAGAAGTGTTGGACTGAGGACAGATCACTAAGTGTGAGGCTATTTTAAATTTCTTTTTTCTTTTTTTAAACTGGTCTCGTTTGAATCGCCCACGCTCCTTCTCGTTTGTTTGTTTAAAGTACTCATCATCGAAGCATTTTTTTTCTCCACTCAGTCTATTTAGTGTTATCAGGTACAGTTTAGGATTGTAAAATCTTCTGTTCCCATATGCACAGACTGATAGGATGCTGGGAACCACTTGAGGCGACAGTTGTTTAAATAGTTCTTTGTATGACCTTTGATATAAAACCTTTTTTTCTCCCATTATTGTGGAGCTTTGTGTCAGTATAGAAGCACTTTTGTAAGGTGTGTTATTTTTGCAGTGTGAGGCACTAAAAGAATACGTTTTAATTGTTGCCACACCCTCTGCCCGCATGTTGCGCGCTACTGGCAGAAAATTATGGGTCCTACTGGAGTTAAGGATAGAACTGCTGCAATTGGTCTGCTAAACCACAAAGTTTGGCTTTAGGCATGACAAAATTAAAAATAGTTATGTTTAGGTTTGTTATGATTACAGATTGTTGGGGTTAGGTGAAACTTTGATGTGGTTAAGGTTTGGGCTGGACTCGCATCTTTGCCCTTAGCGACAGTGGGATGCATAATGAGACATAACTAATCACTTGGATTTGAACCACTGGTTTGCAAGCTTAGAGCACCGTGATATACTCAGATTGAGTTACCGGTAAGTTGGTATTTTATAACTGGGACTTGGATCATTTTATAGACGGCTCTTGCGTTTAAAGTTCTGGTGAATGTCATGACTCTGTATTAAAAGTAACTGTAAGTCTTCTCTGTGAAACTGTAATGGATTTTTAATGGATTTTTCGTCTTGCATAATGCACTCTTCAGTCCAGAAGGAATCTGATGAGGGATGGGATTTTGGTTCCTGGTAATGTAACTGAAGTGAGGTAGGAGTGAAGTGAGATAAAATAAATAGGAATCAAAAGCCATTACCATTATCAAGGCACCGGTGCCAGTCAGTCTCCACTTCGATCTCCATATACCCACAACTCAGCAAGGCAGTTGAAGGTCCCTTTATTGCTACAGTGTCTGACATGAATCACACTGCGCCAGGCTACGTGTCAAGCTGTTAAATATTTCAGCTTCCAGACACCCCCCATCAAGGATCCCAGACCACAGTGCAGAGCTGCAGGCAGCTGACAGCCAGGTTAGGTGTTCAGTGGGGTGCATGCATTCAGCAGTATTGACCAAATACACATTGTCCACCTCACTAACAAGACAGATTGTCTTAGTAGTCTGTAGTGAGCAATACAATACCTTCTAAAAAACCAGAGCATAGCGTATTTTTCACAATCCACTGTAACACTCTTTGTATAGCTGTTAATTTTGTTGTGTAAGCCATTTAATGAAGAAAAGACTCATCTATTTGTTATTGTGTCCACATAATGGCTGATGAATCCGACCCTTTTACTGCCATTTTATGGTGTTTGCCAAGTATTGTGTGGTTAAGCTGCAGTAAAGCAGAGGACTGATTCGTTTATTCAAGATGTGTAAAAGAAATGTTTTACGTTTTGTCTCCAAAAATAAAAGTCTGTTTTAAAAGGAGACTCGTTTTCCATTGTGATTTCTTTGGTGCTGAAGTGAAAAGTTGGATCAACACAGCCAAAAATGCTAATTAGGGAAATGCAGGGGATGGTTTCAAAATATCTTTAATCATAAATCACCAACAATCCAATAATTCACATCTGGCAGCAAAGCCTCAGGAAAAGCATTCGGCATTCGTTTTTACAGAAACCGACAATACAGGACTTAAAAATGATGACTGACTTATACATTAGATCTTTTTAAATGGTTATAGCATAACCATTACTCTCACCAAATAAAGGAATGAGTTTGAGGATTGATGAGAATTAAAAGTGTAGAATTTATGCCAAAGACCACTGAATCTTTTATGGCCTGACACAAATTTTCTTTCATTTTCCTTTTCGGTGGCACAAATACTAAACTACAAACACAGCTGTAGCTCAAACTTATCAGCATGATTTAAACCAGAATTTAACTTGTATCAGTGGACAATGTTTGTTTTTGTTTTTTTCTAAATAAAGAGTAGTTAAAATGTGTTTTGTGTCATTGTGGGCGATTCAGTTGTCCTGTTTGTCACATTTCCACCCATTATATTTTTTCCCCCACGTGTTTTATATCCGTATTCTTTTGCTTGATGCAGATCAGTAGTATTTACAATACACAGGAAAATGAAAAACATTGTGTGGAAAGGCCACTAACGCACATCAGTCTGTCATTGTATGAAAGAGTGCCTTACGGTGAACATGCCTGAGGCTTATCTTCAAACACAGACGACTCCTAGCAGCCACTTGGCCCTCAGAGCGTGTGTTTAAATGGTTACTGGGAATGCCTACTTAATCTGGAAATTAGTTTTTGTGGAATATGAAAACAATATACATTAAAAGCTGTTCGTGTACTGTGTAAGGCACTCTCTCCTGGACTTAAAACACTGCACATATCAAAATCAGGCAAAAAAGCCAGCAAAACCATTAAGGTAACAAAAAAAAGAAGTTAAATAAAACCTCCCATGCCTCTTTAACACACTTGCACACACAAACGTTCACCCAGCTATGCTGCCTATGTACACAAAAACCTTATCTTTAATACACAGAAAATTCTTCTACTTATGTTTTTTAATCTCCACTCCTCAAAAAAGTAAAGTGCAACCTTGTTAACAATATAATCAGGTGGTTTGTGTTGTTTATTTCTTCTCTTTAGCTTGCTGGCCTTTATTTCTGCCAGACTTTAACTGGTAAAGCAACATTAAACCAGTGAGCCACAGTAGGAGAGGCTCAGTCGATGGCCATGTCAGATGATCTTCTGCTTTGAAACAACCTATTTTCAATTCTAGAGAAATCAAATATATTACACAACCCCAGCAACCTTAGATGGGCTGAATAATGTAAAGTTTACAGTAATGAACAAATGAATGAATGGATGGATGAAAAATTGGGAACACTTGTGATAACAGACAAATTTAGGAAAAAAATCCAAAAGGCAACATCATGGATATTTTCTTCATTGTCCATTGCAGTTTCAATCGGATCCTTTTGCCAATGATCTGGGTAACTTAAAGCAATCCAGAAATGTGCTTACACCTACCCAGGATTCTTTCTGTTTGGTGCAGATTAAGGAAGAGAGACCAACTTCACCAACCACAGTGGCCTGATTCTGGAATCTGCGAGGGTATTTGGACATCAAACATCCTATTGTGCCTTCATCAGTAGCTGTACATGGACAAAGGTGTGTCCTCCATATCATCCTATAAGAAAAAGAACGATGTAAATGCTTACACCTATGTTTACACAGTCATACTCACACTTTTGCCTTCAGGAATCCCTTGATTTTAAGGCAGCAAATTATAACATTTTAATAGCTTTATTATTGGCTCATATTATTAACACTCCTGTCTGAGGGACTATTGGACTTTGGAAGCCACTAAAGCATTCATGAATCCTTCAGGAAGATGCAAGATAAACTGCTAAAAGGGTGTTATGGGCAGCAGAAGGAGGAGACCTAAGCCCTCGGGTGGGCTGGGGCTGTATACATGCACATAGGCTTAAATCATGGCAGGCTAAAAGTATCAGGGGCAACAGAGACAGGAGGAACAAAGGTGAAGACTGTGCAAAGAAGCCCAAGAGGCCGAATATTGTAGAAGGGTGGAAGATGCACGCCATTGCAGCTCACACTGAGAGACACTGCCAAGTGTCTGGGATTGTGCACAGGAACATCTGTGCCCAGAATGTCCAATGAGGCACATCCCAAAGCGGTTGAGAGCAGGAGAGCAAATGTTCTGTAAGACTTCAAGTTCTAGACAGACAAGCTGATACTGGCTAACCAGCCAGATATAGTGGTAGTTAGCAAGGAACAAAAGATGCCAGTAATCGCAGCAGCAACATCGGAAAGAATGAGCATGAGAAGAATGGAAAATGGAAAAGCCCTGTGGAGGGTAAAGTCCAAAATGGTCCCAGTAGTAATAGCAGCATTAGGGGCTGTAACCACCAAACTCAAAGAGTGGCTACATGAGATTCAAGGCACAACGTGTGGTTTCAAAGACGTAAAGGCCTAGAAATAACCCTCAAACTCCCAGGCCTATATTAGAAGCCTGAGGAAACGCTGTGAGTTTTAACTATATTAGGAAGAGCAGCAGCAGAAGTACATCTCCAGTCAGGCCAAATGAAAACTGTAACTAAGAGTGCATAACACATCTGTGCTTAACAACATCTGACAGGCTGAATATTTTCCAGTGTTGCTTGGATATGATGGGTGAGCTCACCATAGGTAGGTCCTGCAGCCTGCGGAACTCCGGCCCGTTGCCTCTTCGGCGCAGTTTGAGGAAGAGGAGCAGAGTGATGATGACAGCAGCAACGATGAAGGCTGATACCAGACCAGCCAGGAGGGGGTCTAATCCAGGAGAGTTCTGGGCCGTCCCTAGACAAGAAACACCAGAGACACATCAGCTGGGGCCATTTTTCTATTACCACACTGTATGCTGAGTAAACATGCTGGCAATGCAGCGTTTAGGGAGGATTTGACTTTGAAGTTCTGGTTAGAACTATATATAGACACTCCATGAGCCTGCTGAGTGTTCATCATCAAGCTCAGGACAGAAGTGTCAAACAGGATGTTTAAACTTGCCAGAACGATACTTAAGGTGAACAAGTAAAATCAGCAAGTCATTTTATTATTAAGGTATCATTTTAAGACCTTTTCAAACTTAACTAGAGCAGTGTATACAGCACATGAAGTATGTTTCCATTTTCTCCCAGGTTATTGTTTAATTTCAAAGACTAGCCTGACGTTTTCTTGGTTGTTTCTTTCCGCTAAGTATTTCTGGGCAGGAGGATTTCAGATCTGCGTTTCTGGCATCTCTGTATATGAATGTTGCTATGGAAGACTGTTTTGTAAGCTTAGCTGTTTTTTTTAATAGCCTTTGGTCAAAAGTAACAACAACCACAGAGTCACGAATGCTTGCTGCTCCTCTGGCTTATGGAAAGAGGCAATGTGCCAAGCACCTAATAAAACCACACAGAGTGAGACAAGCAGAGAGAATTTTACACTTAAACTGCAGTCAAGCAGCCTTGACAGCTGAGATGAGTTAATCAGTTATTCATTTCTTTGCACCTATAGTCTGGTAAAAGTACTTTCAACGTGTTCAAATGAATGGTTTCTAAACCCTGTGTGGACTGTATGGACCCAGAGAGAGCAACTGTTCATATATAAATCATTTAGTAAATAGAGCGACGGAGACAGACAAAAAGGAGAAAAACAGAAATCTTGAGGCTAGAGTCCCATGACTGCCTCTGTCCCTTTCTCAAACAAACCCATGATTGTGGAGTGCTTGGTGGTGACAGTGCTTGTAGAAGATGTAAACGGGGGGGTTGCGTGGTGTGTGTTTGTGTCTCTGTGTGTACAGCCAAAGACTGGCTTGTGCTGGAAACAAAGAACAGCATCTCCTTTGTTGTTAAGCCAATTCACTTCTGGCTCTGTCAATATCCTGGAAGTGAACAGTCAAGAACAAATTCATATACCAGCACAGGAGGTATTAAGCACTTACCGTCCCCGTTCACGTTGAGCTCTGATGGGTTGTTGGTGTGGGAGCTGGTCTGGATGCTCGGCTGGGTGGACTGTCTGTTGGACTGTGAAGTGTTTGACGTTGGCTGGGAAGTGGAGGCCTTTTGGACGGAGGCGGTGCTGGAATTTGTGTTGGACTTGGTGGTGGTGGCGTTAGTGATAGATTCAGGCTTTGTTGGTTCCGATGCTGGGGCAGAAGTAGCAGGGGGTGCTTTGGTCTCATGGTGTGATGCGTTTTGATTTAATGAGGGAGTCGGGGTGACCGGTGCACCTGCAGAAGTGTGCAGTACGTGTGTGGTGCCGATATTAATGGGAGCAGCTGTGGTGGGGCTGCTCTGAGAAGGGGAAAGTGTCGTATTTGTGATGTTTTCATTTTTTGCTAATGTGGTCTTAATGGCGTTGTCGGTTACTAAGGAAAGAGAGAGAGAGAGAGACAATGTTATTGTCAAAATGATGTAGTACTATCAGGTAAAAAAATCAAGTCATGCCTTTAGTTTCCTGTGTTTACATTTCTGCCAGCACACCCAATTTAATTTGACCTATTTTACTTTGTAAAATTAAAAAAAGCAGTGAATCTAGCCTTTATTTATAATAATATTGATTATTTAAAATTACAGAAAATAATATAAACAGTAACTATTACTATCAATTCACACAGGAAGTGGTTTTATTTATTTTTACGAGAAACGGTGAAGAGTTCCAGGTGGTCTAAACATAGAAGATAAGATCAGTTTTTCCAAGCTCAGTATGGACTTAAAAGGCTTGCAGTGATAGCCAAAGAACTAAACCAGTCTCTAGAACCAGTGTGCAAAACAACAGCTTGCCAATAAGAGCCTTACAGTATATAACAACATATGCCTATAATACCTTTTACACAAATAAAATTTATTCATATAAAATCCATATAAACCTGAGGATAAACATCATCCAAGGGCTTAAGGGTGGAGACAGAGATATGCAGATAAATCCTCTTACTGTAATCCATAATGGTGAAGCATATGGTTTCAATCAGAAAATTAGATCTACTTCTGTTAAAGAAGCAGATCTAATATCTTAACAAGACTGAATGATATTTGAATGTAAGCAAAACACTGGAGATAAATGAATTTGTTTCACATTACTGTAAAATTGTATTTTTTAAAAATGGTTTTTTTTTTTACTGTATTTTCTTTCGAAGAAAAAAAGATTAGAGGACCAGGATTAAGGTCATTTCTTCTGAAAACAGATGGTTCAATTGACTTTCAGCTACTCTGACACCTTTTCGATAGACTGCCATGAAATCCGTTCAGGTATTCATGGTTTTTTCAGAAGCTGTCTCCTGAAAACTTTAGTGACCGCTTGAGGCTGATGAAATGAAATGATCGTGGCTGGTGAAATCTCTTGAGAACTGTGGAATTAAATTTTGTACAGGATAAAATATAATTACTCTGATGATCGTTTAACTTTTATGTGGTGCCATCATCACATATCTGCTAATGTAATGCGGTTCTCATCAGCCTCGGCTGTACTTCTGTGCTGAAAGCATTTTTAATTTAACGTTTACCATAAATCACTCTAAACAAGACTTGCTTTCTATTATATGAAGCAAATGTTATCTATTATACATGCTAAATATCAGTGAATTAATTTGCCTTATCACCTTTCAAAGTTATTTCCAATAGAATATTTTTTTCTTAAAATATAACTAAATATACACATGCAAAAGGAAAATGTATTTTCCTTTTCTGTATGCTGCTTTTTTAAAGCTAAAAGTGCTCGGTAAAAGTGATATTTAAAGACAGAAGACTTCATACTTCTGGGTCTATAATAACTAAAACTGGCACCCAAAAGCTTCATGGAGAAACCTTATGATTACTTAAAAAGTGTGGATTTTAAGTAGGGCTGCCACGATTAGTCGACTAGTCACGATTATGTCGACTATTAAAATCGTCGACGACTAATTTAATAGTCGA